CTGTTGGCGCGGTCGCCGGCAGCCTCGAGCGAGTCGCGCTAGGAGCCGTGGCGCCTGTGACTGGCGGGGAGCGCGTGTCCCGATCAATTCCCTAGTGGCCCGCGACCATGTCCCTGGGGCAGCGGCTGGCGCTGCTGGCTGTCCGGCTGCAGGAGCCGCAGCGGGTGGCGAGCTTCCAGCGACTGTGTGGGGTGGAGGCGCCGCTCGGCAGCCCCGCGGAGGGCGAGGATGGGGAGAGCGAGGTTCGCGGGGCCGCGGGGAACCCTCGGCGACGGGGACAGCAGCCGGGCGCGGAGCGTAGCCCCGGCCCCGCCAAGCCCGACTGCCGTGGCGCCCCCAACGGCGTACGCAACGGGCTGCCTGCCGAGCCGGGCCCAGTCGGGCCCCGCCGCGCGGGCTCGCTGCGCCGCAACTCGCTGACGGGTGAGGAGGGCGAGCTGACGAGGGTGAGCAACTGGCCGCTCTACTACCTCTTCTGCTTCGGCACCGAGCTGGGCAACGAGCTCTTCTACATCTTCTTCTTCCCCTTCTGGATCTGGAACCTCGATCCCTTTGTGGGCCGGAGGCTGGTGATCATCTGGGTGCTGGTCATGTACCTGGGCCAGTGCACCAAGGACATCATCCGCTGGCCGCGGCCGGCCTCGCCGCCCGTCGTCAAGCTGGAGATCTTCTACAACTCAGAGTACAGCATGCCCTCCACGCATGCCATGTCCGGCACCGCCATCCCCATCGCCATGGTCCTGCTCACCTACGGCCGCTGGCAGGTACGCTGCGCCCCTCGGCTCAGACCAGTTCCCAGTCTCTGCACTTGTTTTAATTTGCCTCTTCCAGTCCTAAACCCCAACCCACGGGTACGCACAGTACCCACAAGCAGGCCCTGTCAGAGTTCTAGAAAATTAAGTGATGGCGGAAATCTAGGGACTTGACCACTAAACCATATTAATACAGTTAAATATAGTTTCTTAGCCTCCCCCACCCCCCAGGCCCCCACACAAGGAAACACTTTCCGTGTTGTGCATTTCCTTGAGCTTGGACTGACTTTTTAAACTTAGTTCGTCTTATGCGTAATAGTGATGCCTTTTTCTTAAAATGAAACACTGGGTAACCAAGACCCAGTCTCGCTGCAAAACATGGTGTTTCCGATGTAAAGTCGTTAACTTTCTTGCTAGACAGTGTTTGCAGAACAGTAATGTAATTCCGACACAGGCACATTCCAGCAGTTAAGCATGAGAGAGAGTTAAAGAACAGCAGAAAGGGAATGGAGCAGAGTCTAGGTGAGTTCCTTTTTAAAGGACTGGTTGCTGATTTGTTGAGACACAGACTTCTCTCTCGGATCTGGAGAGCCGGTTGTTAGTTGCTACACTGTTTCTGTGGCGGTAACTGTAACCAGGCACGGTTTTGCAGCCAGAGGAGTTGGATTGATTATAATCGTATATGACAGACAGCGGGAGCAACTTGACCATCAAGGAGTTTTTTAACGGTAGTCATTTTTATTTTGCCTGCTTCCTTTGGCTTCCTCATCTTGAGCTCCCTAGGGTGTGCAAGTGATACTTGAGTCTAAAATCTAATCTTTCACATGGAAGCAAAATATAGACTACTCCCTTCCATTATCTACCTTAAATTGTATTGTTTGTTAGTCTTTCTGACAAATCTCTTAAGAATAAAGTACACAGTTCTGGAGGCTCTAGGGAAATTCATTTCCTCTTTTAACCTTTCATCACACGGAATTGGGAAATGCCCACTGTATTGTAAAACTCCATTGTAGGCCTGCTTAGCCCACGCTGAGTTTCAGTATGGGTAAATCTTATCTGAAATCCCCGCCTCCCTTACTGTGCAGAGCATCTCGTTTATAGTAACAGAAATCAGGCATGCACCCAGGAAGAATGACGGATGGAGGAGGGAAGCCTAACATAGAAAGTTCTTTCCTACTTCACCCCTCCCCGGTGATCCTTAGTCACATTGAGATTGCAAAGCACTGCTGCCTGTTCTGGGTGGAAAAAATATCTAAAAATCCCCATCGCATCTAAATATTCCAGAAAGCGAGATTGGCAGTGGGTTTGGCATGCTGTTTACTATGTGCATGTGTGCTGCTGTTTGTCTACATGATCAGGGGACTTTTTACTGCCTCCTCCCTGAGTACTTTTGCTGCTAATACTGCCGAGAGAGAGAGAGAGAGAGAGAGAGAGAGAGAGAGAGAGAGAGAGAGAGAGAGAGAGAGAGATGGATTGGGTTTTGCTCTTCAGTTATTCAGGACACATGCTAACAGGAAGTCTGAGAATAGTACTGCTGAATTGTTTATGGGATATAGCTTTCAATCAAGGTCATTTGAATAATCAGGCTAAGCTTATATTCTAGTGTGTATTTGTTTGTTTTTAGGCAGGGTCTCACTGTGGCGCTGGCTGGCCCCAAACTCAGAGTTCTGCCTGTCTCTGTCTCCTGAGTGCAGGGATTTTATACAACCCACTGTATTCTAGACAGGGTTATAGAAATCATCTAGTCTCAAACAGAGCTCTACACAACTACCATCTCACTGTATGTATATAGGTTTTCCTATTGTGAGCATTTCATACTTGTGGAAATATGCACCAGGTAGCCAGTTGTGACTGGCTTTTTTTACTTGGCATTCTTAAGATTCTTTTAACAGTTTCATACATGAGTATATATTTTTGAACAGTTTACCTCCTCAGCAGCTTTTCTTTTCTTTCTTTCTTTCTTTCTTTCTTTCTTTCTTTCTTTCTTTCTTTCTTTCTTTCTTTCTTTCTTTCTTT